TTGTGACAGATTCTCAAACACACTAATATAAATTGCTTCCAAAGTTTTGAATTTTTTATGCTTCTTATAAAATTGCCTTGACCGCATGGGCTTTTTTACGACTCTAGGAACTAATAATGCTTAACTTGCTAGAGTTCGAAAAGGTCTCTAGCAGATTAAGCATCCTAATTATTCCATTCATCCGCTTAGGGAAGATCACGCGATTCCGGTTGAGGAAATAATCTAAAGATTGCTAAATGCAGGTGAAATTGGATAAAATGTTCCAATAACTTTTGAGAAACCATTTGAATCAAACGAACTTTCATGTGCAATAACCCAGTATATCATACATGTTTGGAAATAGCATGCTATAAAAAATGTAAAAGAATTGTTGCTGACTATCGGGTAATGGGAATGCTTTTCATCGTTTCCAAATAAAACAGGAAGCTCGCGTCAAAACATTGAGAGAACCTCTTCGTTTATGAACACTTCAAGACAACTGCTTGAGCCGCGACCTTTTAATGATCTTCAAAATTACTTCCTCCTTTTAGGCAGCTTTTACTATTCTTCGTAAGGAGATAGAAAATCTTTAGAATTCTTTCAGCCTAAAAAACTGGTGTAATGATTAGCAGTAAGTAACATGTTGGTCCTCTCTTGAAGGTTCGATATGTTTTCTGATTGATAATGGAATGAATTGACGGTTTTAGTATCGGGCAATAATATATAGGGAGCACATTCCTTAAATTTTACTTTGCTGGACAAAGAACCCTGTTTAAACAACAATAGCTCGCTTGAAGGTTGATGACGGTGAAAAATTCATAAGAAACGCTGACGGATGTGTTTAAGATTAAAAAATGTCTTTTTCTCTTCAGCAATGTCACTGAATCGTCAGCTTCACGATCTTGCTATAGGAACACCATGTCATTGCCAACGGCGATCACAGTGTACTACTGGAATGCCAGGTATCAGGTGTTCACATCCCCCATTTTGTTGTAAAAATGGAGAAAAATCAGTGCTTTCTCTGTGATTTCTTCATTTAGGAACCGAAACAGAAGGTTTTCATGGTTTTGTCGTCTCAGTAGCAATTGTGCAAAATCTTCAAATGCAAATACATTCACCTAGTGAAGCGTAAGCCGTTTTTTTCCCAAATGTTACTCGTTCTGGAAGTGCAAACATAAATCAGGAAGGCTCATAGAACATAACCGAAGTGACAGAGTACATGAAGCTGTTTGAAAAAAATAGTTTCAAAAATGTTAAATAGCCCACTTTGTTCGTTTTTTTTTCTCATAAAAACGCGAAAAAGTTTTTTTTTTCAGCCAGCTGACGGAAAGAGCAGAGGCGTTTTGTCGAGCACTTGAAGGCCGATGGGCTCTTGGCGACTGCGGCAATTCTGTGATTGTGTTTGTCTGGGAACATTATAAGAAAGTAAGGACGCAAAACAACGATGAGCAAAACAATAAACAACTGTGGGACTAAATTCACTAGTAGTGGTGGGGAAAGAAGAGTGGAAGCTCAAACTCCAAAAGAAAACAAACTAATAATTTACAGGCAGTTCTCACTTTTGGAATGCTATTTTTAATACTTTCCGTTTTTAAATATGGGCATGGCGACAATCCAGAAATAAGAATATGTGCTACTGTTAGAGCTAGGAAGAATATTTTAAGAAATGAGTAAAATCTTTAAAAGGGTGT